GGATGGGATGGGAGAGCTGAAAGGGCAATTTTTGGTGGGGGTAAAACCCTGGAGCTGCCACAACACCACAAAAAACCCTCGAGGTGACACTGATGCCTTTGCCCTTCCCACCAGGGCAGGGAGAGATCAGTGCCATCCCCTCATCTCCTCGCTTTTCATCTGTCTCCTCCTTTCTCTCTAAATCAGACCCACTGTGGTTAATTTAAACTAACAAAAACTAGGTTTATCCTGGTGCTCTTAAACCCAAATGAAAGTGTTGGGGTAGGTCTGTGTGGAAGAGCTTGAAGTGAACACACACAAATATCTATGGGTGCCTGGAATCTCCCTTCTTGATTGTCTTACATCCCTTTCTTCCCTCTTTTTTTGTTTATTTTTCTTTTTGGGGCAGAGGTTATCCTGGGATTTCAGTGGTGCCATTTGGTGCTGTGAGCAGGGCTCTTTAGGTAAAAGACACACACACCTAGTGAGCAATGTTTGCCGCGCTGTAATTACATGTTCTGCCCAAGTCTTGGAAAGGAAAGGCAATTTTTTGGTTCAAAACACCAGAGCTGAAAGGATTTTGACCAATATTTGCACACACTCTGGGGTTTATAACAAGCAGAGTGATGCTCTGGGTGGAAGGTGTCTCTGCCCATGGAAGGGGTTTGGAATTAAATGATCWTTCAGGTCCTTCCCAGCCCAAACCATTCCATGATTTTGTGATTCCACCCTTGCTCTGCAAAGGAAGATTGCCATGGTGCATCAGCCTGGAGCATCTCCTGGATCCAGAGCTGGGAGAAATGGATCCTGCTCACAGCAGATGCAGAACAGTGGCAAATTCATAATATTTAGGTGTCTGTAAAGGTGGGTTTGCCTTGCATTGGGCAGGGCATCCGAAAATCCTCTGGGAAGCCAGGATGAGTCTTCACTGCTCGTCCCTCTGAGGTCATGTCCAACTGATCCCAGGCCTTCCAGAACATTAAAAATGGGCTAAAAGTGATTGTAAGGAGTGGTTAAAACCTGTCCTGCTGCACTTTTTGTTTCCAAGTGTGGGGGCTCTGGAGAAACTGGAGATGAGGACAATAATAAGGAGAGATAAGGGGTAAAATCTAGACTAGAAAATTGCTGCAGAGTATTACAGCTGTGGGGAATTTTGTTTTTAATTGTGAATGAGGGGTGGACTGTGTGCAAATTGTCCACCTTTGTGGGTGTTGTGATGTTATTCTTTTCCAACCTAAATGATTCTATGATTTTTTTTTTTACTTCGGTGTGGTGAATTCTTTTTGTTGATGTAAGTGAAGTTTTTGTGATGAACACACGTTTTGTTGGTGTTTTTGTATYGTTGCCATTTTATTTAAGTCTGGGAAAAATCAGGCTATGCTTTGAATGTTTATGGCTTAATTAATGAGGCGGGAAGGAGAAGGAAATAGCTTTTGTTAACTGAATGATAAAGGTGGGGGAAAAGAAACTTTGAGCATCCTCTAATGAGATCTACCTAAAAA